GGAGGAGGAGGAGGAGGGAGTCCTTAGTGCTCTCTGAACTGCAGATGTTTCATGGCCCAATTAAGGAACATCTACAGTGCGAGAAGGAAGTGGAGTTTGCAAGGAGGAGGAGGAGGAGGAAAAAGACTGTGGGGTCCTGGGTGCTCTCTGAGCTTGATGTTTTTGCAGACATTTCATTACCAAACTAGATAACATTATCAGTGCTACTAACTGATGATGTTATCTAGTTTGGGTCCTGAAACGACTGCAAGAAAACCACCAAGCTCAGAGAGCATCAAGGCCCCCCTCATTTCAACTCCGAGTTACAAATATTCTCCGTTATTGGTACTAAGAAGAGGGGTTGAGCTGGATGACCTTGAAGAACCCTTCTACCTCATACCCTCAGTGACAGAATAACCAAAGAGATGGAGTTAGCACTACATCCTAAACCATGGAGAAATAATAGAAGTTTAAGCTTGAGCAAGCTTGACTTGTTGGGGTGGATTATTCCCTAAAAGCTGTGGATTCTCCATCACTGGAGCTTTTAAAGAAGATTTAAACAGAGTTGAAAGGGACCTCGGAGGTCATGTAGTCCAACCCTCCACCCAAGCAGGAGACCCTACACCATTTCTGACCGAGGGCAGTCCAGCCTCTTTTTGAAAGCCTCCAGGGATGAAGCTTCCACAACTTCCGAAGGCAACTTCTGTTCCATTATTCAGATTGTTGACAATTAACCAGTGGAACACCCTGCCACCAGAAGTTGTGGGTGCTGCATCACTGGAGATTTTCAAGAAGAGACTGGGCAGCCATTTTTTTCTGGAATGATACTCTAGTCCAGGGGTCACCAACCTTTTGGACCCCAGGGACCACCAAACTCATAATTTTAAATCCCAGGGACCACTAACCGGTTCTTTGGGTGTGGCCTAATTTGTGGGTGTGTCTTGGTGGTCATGTGACTGGCTGGGCATGGCTTGTATGTAAATATTACAAATATTTATATAAATATAGAATTTTTTATAAAAAAGAGCAACTTTTACCCCAAATCAGGCAAAGCAAGCAGGCAGATTGAGTTGCTCACAGAATCACAGATTCATTCAGAAATCTATCTATCTGCCATTGGCTAGCTCAGTCTGTCACATAAAATTTGCTAGCAAGCAAACTCACAAAATTAACTCAGAACACACCATGTACGTAAATATCGAATTTCTTATAAAAAAAGAGCAACTTTTGCCCAAAAGCAGGCAAAGCAGACAGGCAGATTGAATTGCTCACAGAATCATTCAGTGATCTATCTATCTGCCATCAGCTAGCTCAGTCTCTCAAATTTGCTTGCCGTGAGTCTGCACTGAATAATCGAAGCTTCAGTCCTAAGGGAGGTTCGGCTGCGCTTAAAAGCAGAGCCGAAGATCTAAAGACTAGCTGGAAAGCAAGACATCCAACCATTTCCTGCTTCCTAGCTGATCTAAATCTCCAGGCACAGCAGAACAGCTGATGGTCGAAAAAAGGAAAAATAGGAATTTAGTAGGCAAATTTGCCGGGTAAGGAGTGAGTAGGCGGGGAGGGTTCCCGCGGGTCATGTGGGCGGCGCAGCCTTGTGTTTCTGCGCAGCCTGGATCAATTGCTTTGGGGGGCGGTGCTCTGGGGGTGCGATTTCTCTGTGGCCTACCAAAATTTCCTCGCGGCCCACCGGTTGGCGACCCCTGCCTCTACAGTCTCCTGCCTTGAGTGGGAGGTTGGACTAAATGACCTCCAAGATCCCTTCCCACTCTGTTAGCCTTTCCTGAGACACACAGATCTGGTTAAATGGATGACGTGAAGACAGTTCCTGAGTTTTAAGCACAGGTTGCTTAAAGTCAGCCAGCCGACAAATCGAGGAAGGAGAGGTTAGATGAGGTCAAAATCTGCCCCGCCAGAGAATTTCCATCCGTATCCACTCTCCTGAAACCAGAGCACTCTGGATCGGTTGCAATGTGACCGAAAAGGAGGCCGGGCATGGTTGCTACAGAAGAAGGCATGGATAGAAGCTTTAGGTGGCCTCGGACCAAGAATGCCACGTCCCTTCCAACTTGGAGATGCCACCCAGGTTCGGAAGATCATGTGTGCTTTCTCGTTCTCTGGGGCGAACAAGGTGAACGGGGATAAGGAAATGAAAAGTTGGATGCGATTCCTCCTCTTGGACACACTGGGACTTTCTGAGAAGGTCAGCCCTGCCGTCTCCAGAGAGAAGAGTGCCACCTGCTGAAGGATGAGGAGAAAGCTCGCCGGGCAGAGGTCTATGATGAGCCAGGATGGGATATAAAAGCAACCAAGTCACAAAAACGGGGGAAGTCCCTTTAATTCCTTCACCTTGGTTTCAAAGCTCCAATTATCATTGACTGGAGACAAAAAAAAACTCCCCCACAAACAGTTGCAAAAAGGAAGAAACGCCGCTCAAACTCAAAATACGTATAAATTATAAATAGAAAAACAACAACAACAACGCAAACCACACTGAAGCCATTAAGGAGACCAGGCAGGATAAGGGCTCGAAGACGTCCACAGATACCGAAAGACACACCCTGGGAAGGGCGCCAGAACTCAGATAAGAACTGAAAGACTAGAATTATTTCACTCTTTACTTCCAGAACATTTGCCATGCGCAGTTTGTCCTTTTAAACAGTCCTCACAGCTGCAGCCCATGAAGGGGATCAGGGCCCCTTCCTCCCCCATAGACCACACCACTCATGTTGCTCCCTTCTCTGTTTCTCCCTGTGTGCCCTAGGATGATGAGGGGACGGGTCTGGGACTTCCTCTGAATACCCAGCCAGCCTGTGCCCTTCTCCAGCCTCCACCACAACCTCAGAGCCACACTCCCACTCCCTGTTGGATGTTCCTCCTCTCCCTTGGAGTCAGACTCCAACGGGGGCACGACAGCTTCCCTGCCACCCTCCTGCCTGCAATTCAGGCTTGGAAGGGACCTTGGAGCAGAAAACCTGATGCGGAATCTTGGAGAACCTCGAAAAAATTACTAGATCCCCTTCCCTCCCCACCAATGAGCCGCGGGACCTCACCTGTCCAAGGATTTCTTTGGAAAAGTGAAAGGGCCCGTGGAGATCTTCTCAATGTAGCTCAGAGGGATCCTCTGGAGCTCCAGGCATTTGAGCATGATGAAGTCGTATTTGCACACCAAGAGGGCAGCGTTGGTGATCACCACAATCCGCTCCTTCTCGATGTTCCAGTGATCGATCCTGGGAGAAAGCACAGAGGGGACAAAGAACGAGAAGACAACTCTGAGCACTTCAGATCCCCAAGAGTGCAGAGAAGAGCAACCAGGAGGATGAGGGGACTGGAGGCTAAAACATACGATGGACGGTTGCAGGAACTGGGCCTGGCTAGTCTAGGGAAGAGAAGGACCAGGGGAGACAAGAGAGCCGCCTTCCAATATTTGAGGGTAGGGGGTTGGACTAGATGACCTACAAGGTCCCTTCCAACTCTGTTAATTTGACTTTAATCTGATTTGAATGAATAAAAGACCAGGGGAGACAGGAGAGCATCTTCCAATAGTTGAGGGGCTGCCCCAGAGAGGAGGAGAAAGGGGGCCAAGCTAAGGCACCTGAAGGCCAGACAAGGAACAATGGATGGAAACTGAACCAGGAGAGATTCAACCTGGAAATATGGAGGAATTTTCTGACAGCGAGAACAATCCACCCATGGAACAAAAGATGCCTTCAGAAGTTGTGGGAGCTTCGTCCCTGGAGGCTTTCAAGAAGAGACTGGACTGGCCTCTGTCAGAAAGGGTGTAGGGTCGCCTGTTTGGGTGGGGGGTTGGACTAGATGGCCTCCAAGGTCCCTTCCAACTCTGTTAATCTGTTACTGCATCCAGTTTTGGTCACCACACTATAAAAAAAGATGTTGAGACTCTAGAAAAAGTGCAGAGAAGAGCAACCAGGAGGATGAGGGGACTGGAGGCTGAAACATACGATGGACGGTTGCGGGAACTGGGCCTGGCTAGTCTAGGGAAGAGAAGGACCAGGGGAGACAGGAGAGCATCTTCCAATATTTGAGGGGCTGCCCCAGAGAGGAGGAAGGATTCAAGCTATTCTCCAAGGCACCTGAAGGACAGACAAGGAATAATGGATGGAAACTGAACAAGGAGAGATTCAAACTGAAAATAAGGAGAATTTTTCTGTCAGGGAGAACAATCCACCCATGGAACAGAAGTTGCCTTCGGAAGTTGTGGGAGCTTCATCCCTGGAGGCTTTCAAGAAGAGACTGGACTCCCATCTGTCAGGAATGGTGTGTAGGATCTCCTGCTTGGGAGCGGGGTTGGACTAGATGACCTACAAGGTCCCCCTTCCAACTCTGTTAATCTGTTAAACAGAGTAGAAAGGGACTCCGGATGTCTATTACTCAGGGAATGCATAGATGCAAACACAATCCAACGCCAGGGAATTTAAGGCTGACACTCTGACAAATCCGCCATCGATAGACACGTAGAAATGAACGCCATCTACAGACTCTGCAAAAGGGACAATCAACCAGCCCAAAAGAGAACCAGAAGACCCCAGTGCCTCTCCACCAGTAATCAGTGCCCAGATCGGATACGGATTTACTGAGTTGGAAGGGACCTTGTAGGTCATCTAGTCCAACCCTCCCTCCCCCAAGCAAACCCTACACCATTTTTGACCCGTGGCTTAGATTCACTGGCCTAGATTCACTCCAGGGTTAACTGCAGACCAACAATCAAGTCAACAACACCCCAATCCAGAAGCTGCCAAAGAGCCATCAGTAAACACCGCACCCAAAAGAATCTCTAAGACCAGCCCCTACCCAAACAGACAGACAAGTCACCAGAATATCAACCAGGGGTCCCCAAACTTGCCAACTTGAAGACTTGTCGCCGTTGAAGTCCACAAGCCTTAAAGTTGCCAAGTTTGGAGACCTCTGAGATAAATGGACAGCGAAGAGCACACCTAACTAGCATGGATGATGTTCCCTAGTTGGGTCACGAAACGTCTGCAAGAAAGCAAGCAAGCTCAGACAGCACCAAGGACCCCATAGTCCTCCTCCTCCTCCTCTTCTTCTCCTCCTCCTCCTCCGTCTCCTCCTCCTTCTTCCTCTCTTCCTCCTCCTACTCCTCTCCACAAACCCCCCTCCCTTCTAGCACTGATGATGTTCCCTAGTTGGGTCACGAAACGTCTGCAAGAAAGCAAGCAAGCTCAAACAGCACCAAGGACCCCATAGTCCTCCTCCTCCTCCTCTCCTCCTCCTCCTCCTCCTCCTCCTTCTTCCTCTCTTCCTCCTCCTCCTCCTCTCCACGAATCCCCCTCCCTTCTAGCACTGATGATGTTCCCTCATTGGGTCACGAAACGTCTGCAAGAAAACAAGCAAGCTCAGAAAGCACCAAGGACCCCGCCCCCTTCACATAACCCAATGCATCTCAAGTCAGATAAGTGATAAACTCGGGTTTTACTGCATCCTGGGAATTAATCCCAGGGACTGATGTGGTCCACAAAGTCAACATGTCAATTGCAAGGATGGAACTAAAACTCCACCTAATTTTACATGCCTGGCGCCACGTGTCATGCAGATTAAAAAACAGGATGGAGCTTCAATTGAATACAGAATAACAGAGTAGCAAAGTCGAAAGAGACCTTGGAGGTCTTCTAGTCCAGCCCCCTGCTCAATCAGGTGACCCTATACCACACCAGAACAAATTGCTGTTCAATCTCTCCTTGAAAACCTCCAGTGACGGAGCAGCCACAACTCCTGGTGGCAAGCAGTTCCGCTGGCGAATTGTCCTCATCCTTAGGAAGTTTCTCCTTAATTCCAGGTTGCTTCTCTCTCCTGGATGAGTTTCCGCCCGTTGCACAATCCTTGTCGAAGTCCAGAAATAAGGAAAGATGTGGGAATTTGCAGTTTTCCTTATAACAGAGCAACCCACTTGGAAGAACTTCTAGTTCCAAAATTATTTTGAGTTTATCTACGGCCGAGTGGGGTTTTCCCATCTCAGCAACGTTAAGCCACGTGGACTTCGACTCCCAGAATTCCCAGCTCGCACGGGGATTCTGGGAGTTGAAGTCCTCCCATCTTAAAAGGGGCTGAGGTTGCCCCCAAAGCAGGAAGTGCAAATGAAACAGAGCTAGCCTGCACTTCACTTTGCATCCTTGTGGTGGCAGTACAGGAAAATAAATCTCTCTCTCTCTACTACAGACTGCGAGAAATCTTATTCAAGATATATAGAAAATATAAAATGGTTAATAAGATATGAAAGGTATATAAGGTGAGCGTGAATTTGATTTAGGTCTGTCAAAAAAGATGTAACCCGGGGCTAAGCCACTTTTCAAAAGAAGTTCTATGTTTTATGTTTCGTGTGTTGATTATTTATGTTTGATTGTAAATTAATAAAATCTTGGAGGAATGAAATCAAAGGGAGAGAAATTGGGAAAAGACATGTATAAATGACAACTAAGGAGGTTTTTTTTTTAATGTTTTGCTTTAGGTTATGTATTTTGTGAGCTTATGACTGATTGAGAATTACTAAACCTTTGATAGAAAGAAATATAATTGAACAAAAGTGAAGGGAGAAATAATGAGAAATTTGGAAAAGATATATATGCGTAAATGGAAATCTGATAATGTGGAACTATGTTTTTTAAAAAATAATGCTTTATTTGCCTTGTTAAAATTTATAAGTAATTCTTAGAAAGGAGGTTTTATACTTTTATGTGTTATGTTTTGTTTGTCTTCAAAAATCAATAAAACTTGTTCTTAAAAAAAAAAAAGATATTCTCTCCTGTTTGATATATAAATAATGTTTGAGCTTGCGGGAACTGACAGTTAAATAATTTCTGCAAAGTAAACCGAAGGGACTATTTCCGGCAGCCCCTAGAGGAGGCAAACGTTGAAATTCAATTTTTAAAAAATTTCCTACTGAGTGTAAGGTGGTGATTAGGGTGCAAGCTGTGATTTTATACATCACAGCAACAGCAACAACAGCAACAAACAGATATCCCCCCAAGAAGGCCGGATTTAATTTTAGAGTAAAGGAGAGAATCGGGAAGAGACCCATAAAAAGAAAAGCAGGAAGGAAGACTCTAAAGCAGGCATTAAATAAATCCCCTTTTGAGGTCAGTAAAATGAGGACCCAGATTGTTGGGGGCAAGAGGCTGACTCTGTAAAGTGTTTAGAGAGGGCTGGGAAGCCTTGTGAAGTGGCATATAAGTCTAAGGCTTCCTTCCTTCCTTCCTTCCTTCCTTCCTTCCTTCCTTCCTTCCTTCCTTC